TGTGGTGTGAATGTGCCTCCTTTGGGGATATGCCCGACAGTGGTATTGCAGAGTCTGCTTAGGGAGAGGTCTTAGTTGTCATGATTGGACACTTAGTTTCCATACAATTGTGGGAGAGGAGATGAACTACACAGGCTATAAAAACAGGTCATGCCAGCATTTTCTAATGTTGATGAATTATTGTATTATTATTTTTATAGTATGTTAAAGATATGGGTGGGTTTCCTAAGAATATTTTTGAACATATAATCCTCCCACCCCCCACTCCTTTTTTGCTTCTCCATTGATATCCTGGCTTCTTCCCTCTCCTCAGGTCTTGGGCAACCTGGTCCTGTTCCTGCTCCAGACTCCTCTCCTCTGCCCCTGTGGTTTCTCCTCAGTAACGGCCTGTCACTCCATGCCACCCTCTCCTGGGACTGAGCTTTCTCTTTAGGGAAACTTCCCTTGAGCAAGAAGGCACATTTTGCTCTACTTCACCAGAGAGATGACAACTCATTAAAGTGAAATTCAAAACAGAAGAGGCAGAGTAGGGAGACCACGCAAAATCTCCCTCCAATCCTGATGCACAAGGAGGTGGCTTCCGGTGCTTTCTGCCTTAATAGGTGGGCTTTTTTTTTTTTTTTTTTTTTTTTTTACATAGCCAAGCGATTGATAAGTTGTAATCTTCTCTGGATTGTATAAAAAGAAGATTGAGCATCATCTATGGATGCACTCTAATCTCATAGTCTCTTAAAAGGATGTGTATAGTACTAGGCAAAGTTCCCCTCAGGTTATTTATTCACAAATCATTGGTTATCGTAAGTGGGGCTGTTATCACAGCCCCAGGTTTGAAGCAAGCAGGACTGGAGCCTTAAGACTCCATTCTGGTAAGTGAAATTTTCTGGTTAAAGTTAGTGAATATGTAAAAGGTGCTTGATTTTCACAGGGTCGAGCATCTTTTCAGAGGCTAGCTTGCAATGACTTCTGCTACCATCAACAAACACATATTCAGGCTTCCCAGAGAGTCTGGGATGTGTTACACCAGCAAATGCCCTCTGCTTCAGCAAAATGCTTCAGCAAAAGCACACTGAAGGCGTCCTCCCTCCTCCCAAGTGTGTTTGATTCTCAGGACCAAATCTTAGCTTTGATATGGGTGTCCTTTAGGATTATGAGCTAGCATCAGCAGAGCCCTCTGAACAAACTGAGACCACTCTGAGCCCCATGGTGCTCAGTGGGCACTCAGGGATGTCTCAGTACAGAAGGAGGCCATGCATTTACAAGTGTATGCATTTCCAACTCACTATTTGGCACACAGAAAGTACTGTGAAATGCTGGCTGACTGGCTGGAGAGACCCTAGTATTTAGTTTACTGAGGAGCTTGCCAGAGGGAAAGTCCTCTGCCTGAGCAAATTATTTCAATTCCTCAGGTCTCCTTAGGTCATTCCCTCAAAGTGTATGCATTTATTAAATACCCACTGTGCTCCTGGACCTATGCTGGAATAATACTGAACATCTGCTCCTGGGAGCTTAACATTCTGTTCATCCTCTGTCCCCAAGAGGCACCAGGGGAGAGGCCTCCCTAAGGTGTGAGCAGGGCCACTGTGGGTAGTCAAAGGAATGGCTACTGCTCTTCTCTCTTAGGAGCAATTGGGGGTCTTCATGAAGTTCAGTAGGGCTGTAATAAGACAGCAGCTCTGTTCTGTCTTACCTGTTCCTGTCCTACACTGGGACTTGAGGATTTATGTTCTTAATATTCCCGAGATTCTGCATTTATTTCACACAATGAGCATAAGAAGCGGTTTTAAGAATCCCTAAACACTGTATGTTGGCACTCTTTCCTTGAGCTAGGAGTGTCATGCAGGCCTGCAGTCCCAGCACTCGGGAGCCCAAGGAGGATCATGAGTTCAAGGACAGCTTGGACTGCACAGTGAAATTCTGTCTCCAAAACACAAAACAAAGAATTCCTCCTGTAATCAAAGATGCGTGGGCAGTCAGCAAAGGGACATCTTACTCCAGCAGCTTTAGCAAAAGTGGGGCGCTCAGACACAGACCCCAACACCAGAGGGTCCAAAACAAGTGTTAGCATGATGAAATTCTTGCCCCACAAGCCTCGGTGATTGCTCTCCTGTACTTTGCTAGTCCTTCCTCTTCTCCTCCAACTCCTCTTCCTACTTTCCTCCTCCATCCGACTCCTTCTCCCCCACCTCCTCTTTTGCTATTGTATCGAGGTGTACATGAAAGCATTAAGAGAGACAAATAGTTCTGGGACTTGGTTACAACGCAGCAATGGTCCCATGCACAGTCCCACCGCCCTTACCCTTCTGTATCTCAGACTGTAGCTGCAGGGCTGATCTCCCTGCTGCGGATAAACTCCCTGCCTCCAAGGTTTTCACTGGAGGCTGCTGTTCCTTCTGCTACCGAGGATGAGCTTTTGAAAGGCTTTCTTTCCTCTCAGCCCCTCAGACAAGCTCACCTTTCCTTTCTCCTTGATGAAGGAGAATTCGTATTAGTATTCGTCTTAGTTCGTATTAGTCTTAGTTCGTATTAGTAATACTTGGGACTACATCTCACTTTGTAGCCCTGGCTGGCTAAGACCTTGCTAGCTATGTTAACCAGGCTGGCCTTGAACCCAGAGATGTGCTCATTTCTGCTTCCTGAGTGGATTAAAGATATGTGCCCTAGGACCTAGCAATTTTTTTTTTGTATTTGTATATGCATATACAGGCGTGCGTGCGTGTGCGTGCGTGTGCGTGTGTGTGTGTGTGTGTGTGTGTGTGTGTGTGTGTGTGTGATGGGGGAGGGGTGTCAGAGAACTTTCAGGAGCCAATTCTCTCTTTTTCCCATGTTGTTACTGGAGACTGAAGTCAGGGCACCAGGCCTGGCAGCAGGTATCCTACTCACTGAGCAGTCCTACTAGCCCGGAATGAGTGCTGTATTTAGGTGAGCTCACTTTCCAGGTGATTCTGTTGAGGCATCAAATGCAGAAACGAGCATGCAGTGAGCTGCAGTGTCTATGGGTGCTGCCCCTAGGGTCTCTGGAGAGCCAGGAACTCTTACTTTTTCATCAATGCGTTTTAAAAAATAAATTTATTTTCTCACCAACTCAATTCCAGCGACTTTACTAAACACCTCTGAGTTTTAAAAAAAAAAATACACTTGGAAAAATATTCTGCAGTTTAGAATGTTGGTTATAGTTATTTTATTGTTCTTAGACCCTGTGTCTATTTGATGGTTACTCTTCTTTTAAATTATATATATTGTGTGTGTGTGTGTTTGAAGTTGCAATCCTTATAATTTTTACTGTACTCAGGTTACAGGACAGACTGTGGGAGTTGGTTTTCTGATAATGTGTGGGTCCTTAGAATTGAAAACTCAGATTGTCAGGTTAGCAGAAGGCACCTCTATCTAGCCAGCCATCTCACATGCCTTGCATTTAATGTTCAGATTGAATGCTGGAAGATTGCCCTTCCTTGTTATGATCCAGCTGGGAACTGATAAGGATTGGGTGGGGCTGAAGGACTCTAAGATAGTATCTAAGGTGTCCCAGGCAACCTCTGAGGTCACAGTCTCTCCTCTTGGCTCAATCCATTCCTACTGAAGTTACTGGTGTTTCCCTGTTGGGGAATGAAGGCCCAGCAGCACCTGGCTGTCCCCACTGAACATGCAGAACTTTCTTTCAGCATTTACTGTACATCAGGTGATCTGGCTGCCCTATGATGACAGATGGCATGTGTCTAGGGCCATGTCTAGGGCAGGAGTAGGAGAAACTGTACCACACCAAGACTACCTGCTCTTCAGTACTTCCTGGAGGTTATGCTTTAGTCCCGCCCCCTTCCGTAGAAATGGCTGTGGATGGCTGAGCATTGTGGGGGGTTCTGTAGTGTCTAGCAGTTTTGACTCCCTGAGAATTACCGCTTAATTTTTGTATCTGCTGTCCTGTCATTTATCCCTCCACATCTTCCTGGATCCCTAGTGTCTTGTGATGGTCTCACCCAGTTTTCTCCATCCTTATGAATTTGTCATTAAAAACAAACAAACCATTCCTCCCCGTCATTCTGTCATTTACTGGGATTTTAAGGAGAAAATGTAGAGCGGTGTGTGTGAATTAGGGTGGGGTGGGGCTTCCTGTGGGTGAGGTTGGGGGATTGTTTGAATCTGCCTTCATGACCAAGAAGTCCAAGGCCTTGCCTTTTCCAGGTTTTTAACTAAAACTTTCTAAGTTAGGCCAGGATCATAAGGACATAGCGTGACCACAGGTCTCTCCCCCCACCCTCCATCCTCCCTGTGAATTGCTGCCCCTGAAAACAAACTTTGCTTCCTGTGGTATGGCTGGGGACAGGCAGCAAGACTGAGGTCCCCCACAGAGGCAGAAATGCTAAGCTTTTAAAGCCCAGTATCAGTAATGGCTGCCCAAGAGGAAGACAGCTGAGCTCTGCCACTCACTGATTTCCAGGGACAGAAAGAAAGAGTGGACTCCCCCCTCCCACCTCAAAACCAGGCCAGTGCTACCTCCCTGCTGCTCTGAGGCTCCCAGAGCCCGTTCATTCTTCCCTTTTTCCATTTGATTGTCTGGAGTGTGAGGCTCCTGTGGAAGGTCTTCCCGGGTGTCCCTCTTGTTACACATCTGGCTGGGAACTGATGGGGAATGAGGGAGGGGCTTAAAGACTCTGAGCCGGGATTCTAAGGCATCCCAGGCAACCCCTGATGTCACAATCTCTCCTCCAGGCGAAGTCACATTCTTTTGAAGTCACCCCCCCCAAACACCTTTTTTGATAGAGAAGCCAAGACCAGCCAGCTGCCAGCCCTGCACTCTACCATGGTACAGAATGGTGGACAGGCAGTGGTCCATCTCCACTCAGGCAACATGGTGGTTTGTGGTCTGCTGGGAACGTAAAGACTGTATCGAAGCTGTTCAGCCCTTTGCTGGCCTCAATGCACTGCAGCCATTAAGCAACACTTGGACAAATTCTCTTCTACCACAGCCACCTGTCAGCACCCCGCCCTCCTACCCACAGTATTACCTGTGGATTATGTGGTATCTCTGCAGGTACTCCAGAGCGAGGGCCAGCTCGCAGATGTACAGTTTCACGGCTCCTTCTGTGAAGTGCACGTTCTGCTGTAGGTGGTAGCGCAGGTCCCCGCCCAGCAGCAGGTCCACCACCATGAACATGTCTTCCTCATCCTGGAAGGAGTACCTGGGAACATAAAGGGACACAGGTTAGGGCTGGAAGCATCTCTAATGTCCTTGGGGCCAACATTCCATTTTCCAGCAAGGCAGACTGGGGCCCGGAAGGATGCTGATGTTGCCTACGGCACGTTGCTGTGGGAGGTGAGCAGGCCAAAGGTTTTCGATCCCACACTGCACCACCTCTGCACTGTGGGGTCACTTCATTTCTTCACTGTCTGAGTCCCAACATTAATTTCCCGCCTGGCAGGCAGACATCCTGTTAAGTAGCTGAACTCTCCTATGCCGTGGAAGCTGGTTTTAGTTTGTGTTTTAACCCCATGCTGTTATATCATGTATCTGGGAGGTTGGACACCAGATGGCCAGCCTGTGGGATGATTGGAAGGTGGTGGAATTTTAGGAAGTAGAGCCAAATGGAAGGGTTTTGCCCTATTAAAACGGCCTTGCAAGCACAGACTGAAGTCTCTGGAACACTGAGCCAATAATAAGCCTTTCTTCCTTTAAGGTTGATCAGCTCAGGCGTTTTGTCACAGCAATGGGAAACTGACTGACACATGCTGTCAGGACTTGTAGTCCCCAACTCCAAAGAGGAGTCCTCTCTCCAGCAAGCCTGATACCCTCTGCACATGCTGCTGCTTCCCACAGGAAGTTCATTCCCAAATCCCCTGAGCATAGTGATGCTCTAACTCAAGTCCGGGAATTTAAGGTAACTGGCCGCTTTGGCTCCTGGCTCTTGGAAGCTGGCCAGATCCTATCCTAATATTCATGAGCCAGTGGTTCCCACTGATGGCTAATACCAAGAGCAGCCATGTATAAACCACTGCAGGTGTGAGGTTGCTGTAGTTATAACCCCACAGGAAGGTGGTCACGGAACGTGAACAGGAAATATCTTGGTGTTTTGAAAAACTTTAGGTCTTAGTATGGTATTTAATTCTTTGTCTTTGAACTGAGAGAAAGCTTACGGAACTCATCTTGAAACATGAGGATAGCAAGAGATAGCACATACTGAGAATACTCAGTACCTTCAGAGATGGCCTCACAGCATGGGGCATGACAGACCGCCCTGTACCAATGGGTATACAGCTTGCTGGCCTCGGTCATTTCCCTTCTTATAATGCCTTCACAGTGGCTGTATGCACACACTCACTTCACCTTTAATTACTTCCCAAAGGCCAGGCTTGTGAATACCATCCACATATGACTTCGAGAATCAAACTTTCAACGTGAGAGTATTGGAGACATGGTCACACCAGGCAGAATGAGAAGAGCCACCTGAGTGTGTGTGTGTGTGTGTGTGTGTGTGTGTGTGTGTGTGTGTTCCTGTGTATCTGCTACTGTGTGGAAGGCCTTAGAAGTCCAAAGATGATAGCATGCCTTCCATGTAAACTCAGTTTACATTCCAGGAGATGATGGACCATGGGCCATCACATGGTGCCCCACACCCTGTGCTCTCTGTTCACTGGTGGGCTGTCGAAGGGAAGCTCATTAAGCATTCTAGCAGAATCCTTAGACGTGATGTTGGTTTTCTGGGGGAAGCTTGCAGACTGGGACAGCTGTTAAGGAGACAACTGAAATGGGAAGAGAACACCATTTAATCAGTAATTCAAATTTGGGTTGTTTCTTGCTATAGATCTGTATTTTGCTCCAGGCCACAGACCCTGCTTTCCCAAGGAGACTCAAAGATACGGCTGAGAATACAGAGTGACCCTCCATCCATCGATCTCTGCTCCCTGTGACTGACTCTGTGGCTCCTCCTTGCACTAGAATGCACTCATCACAACGCTGCATATTGTCATGGAAATGATGGGGATGCTACATGGGAGAGTCTGCCCTCACACAGTGACCCTGACCTTCTGAGAAGTCTGGATAATTAGGTTCTCCTTCAAGCACAAAGCTAGCTGGGAGGTCCAAGGGCAGTGCTAATCCTGGCTTGGCTGTTGAGTAGGCCAGTGTGAAGAGTGCATTGTTTGTTAGTGTGTGCGCAGGTCCTTGTGGCCACGTGTGCACATACATATGAAAACTAGAGCTCAGCCTTAAGTGTCATTCCTTGGGCGTCAAGTTCTCTCATTATTCCGTAGCCTTTTGATTAGGCTAGATTGGCTGGTCAGCAAGTCCCAGGGATTCCTACTCTTCACTCCCCAGTGCTGGGATTACAGGTGTGTGCCACCACACCTGGCTCCTTTTCATTGTCCCTGGGGATGGAGCGAGGGCTCTCCCGCACACACAACAAGTTTTCTTGCCAACTGAGCCATTGTAGTTATTACTCTATTATTTTTAAATATTTTAATTTCCCACTTTGCTCCAAATGACTTAAGAAATTCACTACACAACAAAATAATAATAATAAAAAGAACAAATGAGAAACTTAAGAAAAGGGGGGTTGGGGACTGGAGAGATGGCTCAGAGGTTAAGAGCACTCTGGCTGCTCTTCCAGAGGTCCTGAGTTCAATTCCCAGCAACTACATGGTTGCTCACTACCATCTATAGTGAGATCTGGTGCCCTCTTCTGGCCTGAATGGATACATGCAAGCAGAACACTATCCATAATAAATAAATCTTAAAAAAAAAAGAAAAAGACAAAAGAAAGATAGAGAAGGAAAAGGGGGGTTGGAGAAATGACTCAGTGATTAAGAATACTGGCTGCTCTTCTAGAGGACCTGGGCTCAATTCCCAGCACCCACATGACCCTTAACTGACTGCAATTCCAGTTCCAGGATATTTGATGCCTTGTGGCTTCTGTGGCACTGCACACACACAATACACAGTCATACATGCAGGCAAATTCATAAAATAATTGTTTAAAAATTTAAAAATGTAAGGAAATAGAGGTAGACAAGACCACCCCTAGCTCATGCCCAAGGATCCTTTCTCCTTGCCAAAAATGGACCTAGAGCCCAGAGCAAAGAAGAAAACGGACCGTGTCCCGATTCACAGTTGATAGGGAAATAGATAAATAGTTTAGGAAAAACATGCATTCTTTGGTTGTTTTTACTAACCCACAATTTCACTTAACTTACAGGCTATGGTATGACATTTGACAATGTACAATGATCAAATCTGGGCATTTACATGTCTGTCACAGCAGACATCTGCCATTTCTGGCTAACTAGAAATGGACAATGAATGACATGTTTTTCTTGGTACAGGAAGCAGATGGAAACAGCTCCCACAGAGTTTTTAATGTGGCAAGCAGTACATCTATGTGAACTAACCCCATCTGGCATGACAAGTCAAAAAAGGATTTTTTGTTTTAAATCTGATAACTGTTGAGTTTGCCTTGGATGAGTTCAGTCCCATTTGGTAGATATAGCCTTGCATGGGTCATATAACCCGTGAGCTGTGCTCTCCATCATGAGAAACTGCCTGTCTCTGAACATGCCCACAGTGCTGAGGCTGGAACCATGAGCTGGGATCATGCTTGCTCTGGAAGAAGCCTTCTCTGACCCTCAGAGGCTGAGCTGTGTGTCTGCCAAGTGCGCTGTAATGGCAAGAATTCAGGCTGGCATGGCACAGGTTAGGTAGCATCCACATTCCCAAATGCTTTGAGTTCCCTCTGTTCTTCCAACCAGCCTATGGGGTGAGGCTCAGAATGAAGCACCGTTGTGATTGGAGTATAGAACCCCCTCCACAGGCTGTGTGAACACTTGTTCCCCAACCGGGAGGGTGTGGAACCATTGAGACCCAGAGATCTGCTGCTAGGGGTGGCCTTTAAAGGTTACACCCCCTCCAGTTCCAGGCAAGCTCTCCCTGGTCTGGCTCTCCCATGCCAGGCGTCTGCCCTGCCTTCACCATCATGGTGGCCGGAAGCTCCTGAAACCTTGGGCCCAAAGAAACCATTTTATGTTTTAAAAATCCCAGGGTCTCTTAAAGCTCAAAGATAATAAGTAATCCTAAAAACGATACGCAGGGCCAGGAAGTGGCAGAATGGATAGTTGAACCGTGACGATGCACCTCCAGGACTCCTAGACCATGCCTGGTGCTCTAGAGTCCTTTGTTCACAGCCCTGTGACCTTCTCTCCTTATTTTGTTCCCCTCTACCAGCCAGGGAACTATCTGCTTACAGGGACCTGCCACATTCAACACTGGGCCCTTGTGTCTGGCCTGGTTCCAAAGTATCACACATACTCAGGAAGCAGCGGATGACAAACTCCCTAAGTGCCAGTAAACTGTGAGACATGACCGCCAGCTATGTGGTCCATGGGAAAGGAAGCTGCGCAGAGAGAAGGATGGGGAAGAAAGGTTTGTCCCATGCAGAGCATGCAATTCCTGTCACTGCCTACAGGAGGCCCCCGTGTCTTCTTCTTCACACAGAAGCCATGGACTTGCACCAGTGTGACTATGTCCCCAGCATCTCCCCCCTACCCCCATAGCCCTCCCACTCAATAATTGGGAAAAGGAGAAGCCTTGTTTGGCATCATCCTCTACTCCCTCACCATTTGCAGGACCGTCTGCACATGCCTACATCCTGCCTGCTGTCTTCCAGGCTAGCAGCTGGTGTCTGGGGTGGGTTTTGTGCAACCACCATTTCCTCAGGTGCTGATAAGTCTGTGTCAGAGCCCTCTGGGATGTAGGTCTAAAGCTAGCCTCTCCATGGTGTCTAGAGCTGAACTCTATGGTGAAAGCACGTGCATCTGCCAGACCTGACCTGTCTCTGCATTTTATCCACACTCAAAGATGCAGACCATCCCTCCACCCTCACCCCCCTAGCCTAGGACAGACTCACCATCATCCTCACATTCCAATAGTCACACCCCAAGGCCAAGAGAGGTTGGAAAGTCCTAGGTCATTAGGTCACATGTGCCATGCTCTCCATCATCAACCTGGTGTTGCTTACGGACCCAAGGTCAGCTAGCTAAGAGGCAAGGCAAAAGCCCAGGAAGAAGCCAGAGAGGAGCTTCTAGAGCAAAAGTCGGAGACAAAACGTGAGTCCAGTTGTCTCACTTATTCAGTGAGCAATCACACCTACCTCACTCTCACCCAGGGCTGAGATCCAGTGACCATGCCACAGAA